ACACACACACACACACACACACACACACAGTGCCCTCTTTGTGCTGCAGATATTTGGCTCATCACAACTTGGAAGCTCGGACTCCTCAGCTTTTCTGACAGTTTCATCTGTTGGAGGATGGGTTCAAAACGCAGACTGTAGATAAAGATGGAGGACATGACACATCCGCAGCTGTGAGACTGACTCATGATCGGTTGAGCGCCCCCTGCTGTTCTACTGTATAGACCCGAAGTGATCGCTGAGACGTCTTGTCCATCTTTATCTCCAGTCCGTGGATCAAATGTGACATTGTTTTTTAGATTGGTGAAATTTCACTTTAATACTGAGAACCACGACTTAAGTATTGAAATCCATCGTGTTGTATTTTCCCATCATGCACAAATGACAGCCATGTCTGTTGTTTGATGTTTTCTAGATGAATCAGAGAAACGACCCTTCGGGCTGCGTGACTGTGTTTGTGTGTGTGTGAGACTGAGTGTGTGTTGCTCTCCCTTCTCATGTTGTCTCTGTGCGTTCAGCCAGAACAGATCAGACGTAACAAATGATCATTGTACCGATCTATTTATAATATCAAGACATTCTTTGAAAGGGCATTGCACAATGTTTGCATTGTATTGTTTATTCATTGGTTAATATTTCCTGTGACTAACTGCAGTCACGTTGAAGTCATTGCTGGACTAACTACGTGGTTATTGACGCTCTAGAAAATCGTATTTGTCCCACAGACTGCAGCTCGCAGATATTATCAGAGCTAATGAGAATGTCAGACGTCCAAGTTGGGATTCCAGGAATAAATCACAACAAGGCATCTATCTGTAAAATGAATCAAACGTGGTTAAATTGAGTTTTCAGAAGCAAAATATCAAGTTTGCACTGAGGGAGCATTTAGTGAAAGCTGCTGGAGGTGTAGAGTTTGAAATGTAAGAGTGTCTGCGTATGCACACGTCCACCCACACATCAGCGTCTCACCAGCAGGGAGAATCTGTCCTGTCAAGGTGCTTACATCACTTTATGTGCGCTGGTGTAGGTGTGACTGTTTCCCTCCAGGTGCTGCAGCTCAGCTTACTATTCAAACGCCTCAGTGGTTCACGTAAGGCTCTGCTAAGTTGTTTTTGTTCCAGATGAGTTCAGGCTCTGCTGGGTGTTCTCGCTGTGTTTCAGACGGTGTTTCTCCCGGTGAACGTGGTGCTCTGCAGTGTTTCTGATGAGCCTCGGTTGTAGCTCTGATGTACCGCCAGCTGCAGGCAGTGTGGTGGTGGATCTCTTTAAAGATTCTTTAGTTTTAACATAGTAAAGATATTTGTTCATCTCTTGTCGATCCGTGTTGCAGAGACGGAAACACAAGTAGTAAAATAAGCAGATAAGTTTGTGTATAATGGTATTTTGTGAGTATATTTCTTAGAATCCACATAGTAACAACTAACATGCTTGTATTGCAGTGTGTGTTCTGTTTGTTTGATTTAGTATATAGTTTCTCATTTAATTAAATGTTTCTGCTTCTCAGGGTCTAACTACGCCATGTCTAACGGGGGCGGAGCCGCCAGCAGCTCCACTCACCTGCTGGACTTCCTAGAGGAGCCGATTCCCGGTGTGGGGACCTACGACGACTTCCACACCATCGACTGGGTGCGAGAGAAGTGCAAGGACCGTGAGAGACACAGGAAGGTGAGGGCCCCTCAAAGGCAGAGGGTTTCTAACTGTGGTCATTATGTCCTCGACAGTTTTGTTTCTGATGAAATAAATTGTTCAAATTGGAAGAATAAACAACTGAGACCTACTTTCCACTGTTTCACATCTTAACACACGTGTATACATGTGTGTTTTATAACTAGATGTTCAAATTGACACTCGTCCGTCTCTACTTCCTGAAGCTGTGAGACAGAAACAACAAACCTTGTCTGCTGCACAGGAAGTGTGTCACACATTTTCTGCAGCAGCAACAGTTTGTTTGGATCACACACCAAAAAATAACTGGGTCAGCAGTTTTAGCCTCGGTGGCTTAACGGGGGGTAAAAATAGCTCTGCATACAAAAATGATCAGCAGAAAATCCAAGGTAGAAGAATTTAACATCAGATATTTAAATTTTCTGCCTTTAAATCATGTCACTGTCTTCATCAGAAAGATTGAAGTTCACTCTTCACCTCCGTCTGTGTAGAAATGTAGTTGTACAGATGAGTGACGTCACTGATTCACCTCTCCCTGTTCAAGCCTTTGTCCAAATATTGACTCAGTTATCCTGCACAGCTTCCCCACGGTGTTTCAGTGCCATGCTGCTGGTTCTGAGACACAGTATTCAAATAATGTTCACATTCTCAAACATTGTTTTAACAGCCGGCCGCGCAGGAAGCTCATTAAACAAAGTTTTATCGAAGCACTAAATTTAAATCCTGCCACAAGAGTCGATTACTGAATATCTGTAGGTTTCCAATGAATGAAGTTTGACGCTCTAACTCTGACTCCCCTCGTTTCGAATCCACATTCAAAACCCACAGGACGACCCGCTAAAGTTTAACTGTTACATAAGAGGTGAGGGAGGAAGAGGTAAAAACACTGTGGCTCCACTTCCATCTCTTATGACCTGTAAAATGATTCATCCATCGTGTGGTTTTCCTTCTGTTCTTTTCAGATCAACAGTAAGAAGAAGGAGTCAGCATGGGAGTTCACAAAGAGCCTGTACGATGCCTGGTCCGGGTGGCTGGTGGTGACGCTCACCGGCCTGGCCTCAGGTAGCGCACGTTCACAAATACTGTGCACACTCACACAGCTGCTGCGTCCTCTGCTGGGGACTCTCACATGCTTGGCCTCAGGCAGCTCACACTCTTTCTCTCGTCTTCATGTTTTATCACAACCAACCACTCTGTGCACAGTCAAAGTAACGCTGCTGTAAAAAACTAGATTTCTATTTGAAAAGATGAAATATTTGCTTTTGTCTCAGGTTCAGTTTCATCACGCTCACGTTAATCTAGGAGCACAAGAGGCAAACTCACTTTCCACAAACACCTTTCTCTTTTCTTCTCTTTCTCCGTCCTCCCTGCCTTCACTTCTTCGCCCCCTCCTTTCCTTCCTCGTCCTCTTCCTCCTCTTGCCAGGTGCTTTGGCTGGCCTTATTGATATTGCTGCTGATTGGTTGAACGACCTGAAGGAGGGCGTGTGTCTGAGCGCCATGTGGTTCAACCACGAGCAGTGCTGCTGGACGTCCAATGAGACCACCTTCGCTGAGCGGGACAAGTGTCCCCAGTGGAAGAGCTGGGCTGAGCTAATACTGGGGCAGGCCGAGGTAGACGCAGGCGCTGGAGGGGCTCTTCAGTTACCATGGCAACGTTGATCATTTCAATCTGATAATCTAACAGAGCTCTGGCTTCATTCTGTAGATATTTGCTGCCTGTGACTCTCAAGGTGTTTATTAGTTCACCCCCCCCCC